TTCCCTTGTGGTTAAAATTTAATCTGGTATCCTCCTCTTCCTGCTGTGATGTAGTGGCAGATAAAGTTATCCCTATCCACTATATGTAACTCTTAAATGCTTTGGGATCCTCCCGAATGAACAATGTTTATATGGGTATGTTGCTTCACTTGTCTCCAGCAGTTAATTTCAGCAATATCCCAGCAATTTATTCTGACTCATTAAATATAATTAAGAATTCCAACATAGATCATATTCTCTCCTCTGCCAGCAGAATTCCCTTTCAGAGTTCCATGCATAGGGCAAGTGCAGTCCTATGCAGAGCAGTTGTTTCATTTGTACAGTAAGTAAAAATACAACTTAACACACACTATCCATTTCTGTTGAGATCCAATTGAAAGCAGCTATGTGGATTTTATTCCTGAGCTGTCTAACATGTCCAACACAGGAACCTGCAATTCAACCTCTCCTTGCCATTGCAAGTAGGTCCAAGTTTGGTGGTGGTGGTGGTGGTGTAACACACATGCATTTTTCAGTTTGATGATACTCTATGCACTTTATGGAATGATCCTATCCCAGTAAGAGTGTGGCAGACATGCTATCTCTAAATACGCTTAATATATATGCCAGTCTTCCTTCCATGCTGCCTCTTGTACTTGGAAATCTCACCCTCTCCTTGTTCTTCAGATGTTTTCCCCCTGGGTAGTGAAATCTCTCCATAAAAGTCTCTTCTTCCTTTTTTAACCCCAACTCATGAGAGAGAACAAGTATACCAACAAAGAGTAAACTTGCACTGCTTTAAGGGTTGGACCTTCATTTTATGTATAATACAGATCTGGACGCTGGATCTATCCCATTGGTTGCATGCATAGAATAGACAGGATGATTGGGCCCTGAGCTGTATTCTCTGTGACTGATATAAATTTTAAACATGTGGGAAAGGGACCATGATTTCCTCTATTTTAAATGTGGCAAAACACAGTTATTTATAGAGAACCATTGCTATGATCTGTTCCTGTAAGCCAATGTGATATACAGAATCCAGCAGAGTGCTCCTCTTGGCAGCCACTGGCTGCATATATTTCTAAGCACCAAACAGTGTCCTCACGTAAAAACAATGACATATCCAATGACTTCAGTAACTCGCCGCAGAGTTAAGAATTTTCACTTGTTGAAATGCTATGGCCAAGTATCCTGAATCTGTGAATGGCTATTTCCTGAACACAGGGATTCCCAGGATTTATTATTTTTTCTTAATGTCATCCAAGTTGTAGTGTGATCTGAACACACCGATGATGCTAATGTTGCCATTTGCAAGGTCTGGAGAGAGATTGCTTACATGCTCTCCTATGTAAATTCCAAGTTGAACCCCTGGGGATGAAAGATGATCAAACTGTGCATCTTTATATTTCAGAATGAGGATTGTTGATTTTAGAGAGAGCCAAAACTGGAACCTCAAATCCAAAGTAATCTGAATTTTGGATTCAAACACACTGCTGCAGTTTTGGTTCTGGATCAGATACAAAACCACCAGGGGCCTAGTTTCCTATTCTGATTTGAACGCAGCTAAAATGTTATGAAATTAGTTGGTTTCATACAGTTTCCATTACTTTTAAACTGAAATCTCATGCAAACAGCTCACAAGATTATGTTGTCATAAAATATGAATCCTAGCTCTAATTTGATGTTGAACCTGAATCCTCACCTCAACCCAATCCAGAGCCAAACATCACTTCTTGTTTCATCTGTAGTCAAAACTTGGGGGGGTATGGATCAGCGTTCACGTCGCACTCCCTGTCAGTACCCGGCCCGGGCAAGCTAATAATCCAGCCAGCGGACCAAATTCGGTGATGAATCCTGGTCATGTGCCACTTGAGGCATGTTGTGCATACACTAAGAAGAAGACTTGCCAATAAAAGACACCAGTATACTAGATTTGTGTGTGATGTCTCCATTTGCTAGCCAATCCACCTACAGAAGATATAAGGAAAGGACCTTTTCTACCTTAACTGCTGCAGGAGATGTCCTTTAGCTCAACTAATAGACCCTTTAATTTTTGGAGCTGAAGGGTTCTGGCACCCCATGTGTGAGATATCTGTGGTAAATGTCTGTTGTCGTAGAACATGAATTTGTTATGGAAGGATGTTGTGTTTGTTCTGATAAAAATTAAAGGCTTTTCTTTAAAAGTTCTAGTCAAGTGGACTTGCTGGCTCAGAGTAGGTAACCTTTCATATGTAGATCAAGTGTTTGCTTCTGACTTAGTTTGATAGTGACTGAAATTGTCACCATCAGCTGTATGATTAGTGGTTTATATGATTATTCTGATTCCTATCAGACAGCTATTTACATAATTAAAAAGCAACCTCACCACTGAGAACATTAGTTGGTACTCGCAGGAGAGAAACCAAAGATTGACTGACTGGCTTTGTGCTTGAGGCACTTTAACCTTCAGCTTGTCTAAGGGGCAGCAGGCAGCAGTACAAACTTCCTACATTGTCTCACTCAAGTCTCCAGGGCAATCCATCCAAGACCTTTTATGAATGCTTAGAGGGAAAAAAATGATGTAGCAATGTTGGTCCCAGGATATTAGACAAGATGAATGAATATATTGAATCAACTTCTGTTGGTGAAAGTGACAAGCTGTTGTGCTTACTCACAAGAAGAGCTCTGTGTAAACTTGAAAGCTTGTGTTTTTCACCAACAGAAGTTGGTCTTATAAAAGATTGTCTCTCTAGAGAAAAATGGGGACATTTTGGTGGAAAAGAGAAATAAGCAAGTTTACGAGAGATATAATGGAGCCAGGTCTACAATAACATCCTAGGCACCATTATGCCCCTGTGAATAGGACAAATGGGAGCTCAAACTTAAATGCAAACTGAGATTTACTTTATAGCGGACACAGCAAATGGTTGCTGAGGGAAAATAAATGGAAAAAGATCTCAGTAGGGTCCTGATCATTCTCCCATAAAGGACTAAAAATTTTGTCATCAACTTCGGTGTTAATTGTAGCAGTCCCATTATAGGATAAATCCTTCCCCTGGCAATGTCCGTAAACCCTACTGAACTCAATGGGGGTGCCTGGGGTTGCCTTGAATGGGTCCTTGATTTAATGGAAAGTGTTCAATATACTTTAATGGGAGTTGAATTGGGCCCCAGGGGCAGAATATGGACTAGAACGTATGAGAAAAGCTTGTTTGTGCCCACTGTACTAGAGAAATTGTTCATGAGTGGCTCATTAGGGTGAGAATATCATTTCTGTAATGCTCGTAAGTTCACTGAGAACTATGGTCATCTGCTGAGTAGGTGCTGGTCACATGAGTGAAAGCTGCCTGAAGGCAATTTAGGAACCTGTTTTTCCTTTGATGTCCGGCATTTCAGTAACTTTTTTCATTTTTTTGGTCCTATTTCTTCTTGCCCCCATTTCACTCTCCAGTTGTATCCTCATCAAGGGAAATTTCCCTAATGCTTAAACCAAATTTTAAGAAGGAGGTTACTGGCTGCAAGTAATTTTAAGCAATAGTGACACACAACACTATGATTTTTGTGTAAATTATATGAAAATCCAAGGTGCAGGCCTTAATAAAATCGAGACAAGAACCATAATTTCGATTAAAGCATTTGTGAGTAACTGTTTAGCTTGCTAGCCAGTTATACTAAATTGGAGAAATAGTTTATTGGTAGCAGGCTATGAGTTTAAATCTCAGTTCTGGACTTTTACTTGGAAATGCAGTACAGTCATTTATTATACAAAATACATTTTAAACAAATGATTACATAGGTTGTAATTTGTAATTAGCAATAATGTATAATTACACCATTAACTATGTGCATTTTGAATATATTGCTTGCTGACTTTAATTTAGATTGCCTTCTGTTAATTTTCAGCTAAACAGAGAAATAAATTGAGCTTTAATTGATAAATTATCCTACAGGTTTTTTTTTTAAAAAGGTAATCTCTATTTACGTAAGCATCTTAAAATATAAACACTTCTCCGAATGAGATCCTAGTTTAATATGTCATGTGATTGAGTGTGTCATATTCAAATTTTCTAATTTGCAGACTCAAAGATTTATATTATAAGCATAAACAAATTTAGGACGTCGTTAAAGTAAAGCTAAATGATAGAGCTGGGGTTTTCTAGAAGCTGTTTGTAAATGTCAAAATAGGTATGTAGCCAATTTACATATATTACTGTACATTGGGGTCCTGGGGGGGTGAAGCTTTGTCTGGCAGCAGAAGGGTTAAGGACTTTTTTGCTTTGCCCGTTTCAAATTACAATGAGAAGCCTCTTCTTTCCCAGCAGGGTTGTGCTTACATTAGTCTTTAGATCTCTGTTGAAGAGAGCTGTTATATTTGTGCCTGCTAGAGTTGGAAATAACAGTTAAGAAGCTGACTGGGGTTGAATGGATTTACAGAAGTTTTTTCAAGTAAATTCAGGGAAACATATGAATTAGATTAGTACATGCTTTAGAATTAGTTTATACTAAGGTGATTCAAAAGATGTTAAAGTTATCACCAGGCTGCTGGACAAATATAAATTATACTACCAAGGTACAGATCGAGACAAATCTGTGACTCAGGACTTTATCTTGGAAAGAGCGCAAGGTGTGAGAAGAACTCAGAATAACAAGAGAAGATAACTCTGGCAACTACAGTGTATCAGAAGATCAGCTCTTGCTAACACAACCCTGAACTAAAGACCTGGTTATCTAAGGTTTTTAATAGGAATGCCTAGGTCAGCTGACAAAATACTGGTCTTCTGCTCCATAAATGCAGAAAAAACGATAACAACAGTGGAAAATTGGAAGTCTGAATTTCAGCTTTCTTAGAAATAACTGCAACCTGACACATTCCATAATATTTAAACGGCGGGCAGGGGAGAATCACCAAAGATGTTATGTTTAGAGATGACATTGACATGAAGAATAGGTAAATTTTGTTTTTCAGCCACTGGTAAAGCAGACCTCATAGGAGCTCAGAATAAGCAGGAGAAATATTTTTGTTCTTTTTCTTTTCAACAATGAACCTAATGGCACTCAAAGCTTTCCTGGGCTTGCTCTGGAATTGCTGGGTTCTAGTGGGTCATGCACAGGGAGGCTTGGGAGACAATCATGTCCATTCAAGTTTTATTTACAGGAGGCTGCGGAACCATGAAAGAAGGGAGATCCAGAGAGAGATTCTCTCTATCTTGGGTTTACCTCACAGACCCAGACCATTTTCACCTGGAAAGCAGGCTTCTTCTGCACCCCTCTTCATGCTGGACCTGTACAATGCCATGACAAATGAAGAGGATACTGAGGAACTGGCGTATTCACTGAGGGAATCAATGGGAGGAGAGAGCAGAGGGGTAAGAAAAGGATACTCCGCATCTCCAAATGGATACTCACGGAGAATACAATTATCTCGCATGACCCCCCTGACCACACAGAGTCCTCCCTTAGCCAGCCTGCGTGATACCAACTTTCTGAATGATGCCGACATGGTCATGAGCTTTGTCAATTTAGGTATGTCTAAACATTTTTTTCTGCTCTGTTTGACAAACTAGCACCCTGATCCTGTAGTTTGTACAGAGGCAAATCTCCCAATGGGAGATTAGCCTGTATATACAAAACAGGATTGGGCCCTAGAAGTTGTACTACTAATAAAATAGAAATTGTACTAATGGTAAAGTAGCTACATTGTAGGTGGCCATGGAAAAAGGTTTTTCTCACTGTTTATATAAAGTCAGTTTCTATAACTCCCCTCTCCTGGCTTCTGTTTTCCTTCTTTCATTGATGTAATGAAAGTGCTAGCCTTAGGCCAGCTCCATTTTTTTTAAACTAAAAAAAAAAATCAAACTCGTATGTGTATTGGTGGGTTATTTCCCCCCTCCGTTTTATGTAAAGCTCAAACATAAATAAACATCAGATGTTAATATTTTAAAGGCTAGAATGTTAAGAGGGTGGGGAATCAAATCATTTCTAACAAGAGAAGGTTATTTTTGTTTATTTTTTCTGTTGGTAAATGTCAAATTTTTGTTATCTTTTCAGCTGGATGGCTGGATTTTGTGGCATCTGCTGCTGATTTTTTGTTATTTCTATTTTGTAACAAGGATTGTATTTTTAGTGTTTTGTCAGGGTGCCTGAAACCCGGGTTAGGTCTTTTGTGTGTTTATTTATAACATAAATAATAGATATAATATTTCATACCAGAAACAAGTCAAAAAGAACGGTTCCAGGACTTTTGAAAGTGTATGTTAATTAAGGTATATGGATGAAACCCAATTATATTTGATCTTGAGTAGCAACATGTTTACCAGTTATGAAGCATTACATAATTCAAACAAAACATCCATTGCACATTTCTTAACTAGAATAGGCAACTTAAATTTCATTAAGAATGTTGCAAACAATTTACTCACTATTTTTACAATCTCTAAAAATGAAAAAGGAATATGCTGCAAGCCTGACAGCACTATTTATACAACTTCTAATTTGACTTTAGTAGCAAAAGAGTGTAAATGAAAACCTGAAAGTTTTCTACAAGTGCTGTAAAAGATGTGATAAACTCTATTGCTTTCCAGAGTAATAGTTATTATGGTAACTTTTTAGATATTGGCCCATGTTCTGAAATGCACATTAAAATGTGTGATAAGCTTTTTAGTCTTCCAGGTTACTAAAACCTGCAGCAGGATTGAACATGTCTCTAATCACTAACCTTCTTAGCTACCAGAATTTGTAGGAAAATGACACCCTAGAGTTCAGTTGCCATAATAATAAAATTACATCTCACTAAATAGTTGGCAGGTTAGTGTGCTCAATTTTCAAAACTTTTTTTTTTTTTTACAAAAACAGCAACGTATATCTGCAACTCCTAATACAATTAATAAATTAATTTAATTACATTTTTTTTACATTTTTTGTTCCCAGAAGTCAACAAGTTGAACAGAAAAAAACTTATTTTTTCAGTTCCTTTCCAGGGTTTTTCTAAATATTATACTTCTATATTATCTGCTTATTAGTTTAAAAATTATTGGCAACATGATACAACTCACAAAAAGTACTCTACAGCATTTGAAGTTAAAATTCCACTATTAAAAAAAATAGGAAACTCTATGATCTCCTAAGTAATAATCACGTATCCAATCCTACAAAAGTTTACATATGTACTTAACTTAGTACACTGTGGTCACATCCTCAGCTAGTGTAAATTAGTTCAGTTCCATTAAAGTCAATTGAGCTACATCCATCTACAGTGTCTGAGGATCTGACCCTTTGAGTAAGCCTGATGATTTTAATAGGACTTCTTACAGGATGAAATATTAAATACGTGCATAAGTCTTTGCAGGATTGGGATCAAGACTAGACTGGCCAGATTCTGCAGTGCTTACACAGGCAAAACTCCCATTCAGGTGAATGCAAATCTTGTCTATGTGTCTTAATATTTCTGCTTCTCATTCTGCGCTGAGGTCCATGTTCCTTTTAAAAATAAAACCCCTTTAAAATAACATTATATGCTTTGTCTTACATTTTTAACTGAAAATTTGGAGTGAGAGTTTTCTAGTGGTTACAGTAATTAGACATGATTAAAATCTCAAGAATACTATATAAATTCCAGGTTTTGTTTGGTATCTATAAACCATTAAAATGTATTTTAAACCTAAATTAGGCTTAACCCTAAATCAGTTTGAATGCCCTTCCACAGTGTGCATTCTGTGTAATTGTGGTTTATAGCATGCTTCACTATGTAACATTCATAATAAATATTGATGACTAATATAGATTAGCTTTAACATTTTTATTAAATGAGCCCATGTTTTAGCATAATAACGTATGACTAAATAAGTCATTGAAGCAGGTAACCATTTGGTATGATTTAAGATCCCGACAGATGAGAGCCAGCTATGTTAACATATAATGGGGAAAATATGCATTGATAAATTAATGCTAACACTATACCTTAAAATCAATACAAATTGAGGTATTGTTAGTAAAAGAACACAAGTCATTTTAGATTTGAAGCATTGAGCAACATTTATCAAATTAGTAAATCTTTGTAATCCTAGATTGCACTGATAAAATGTATTTAATTAATTATATGCCAGTATTAATATGGTCAATACTGCTTCCAAAGCAGATTAATCATCCTGGCATTTTAAATTTAAACCATTGTATTGCCAATTTATAATTACTTAAAGCACATATGGTAAAACAACAAATGTGTAAGTATCCTGCTGGAGAAGTCTTATTAGCTATGAGCTACAAAAATAAAATCATCCTTATGGGAAACACAATAAATTACAAAAGAAACTGGGGGAAAATAAAAATCAGTGAAGGACAAATCACTTTCTACTGAAGAACAAAAACAGCACTTACATGCTAATTTCAATAAAAATCTACCTGTCAGAATGGAGTTCTAAACTTCTCACCTTTTACAAATACATTTTAAAAATGCAACCCAGGGAACTGAAGTTATACGAAGTTCCCTCAAGCAACCAGGAGCAAAAAATTAACGTATTTATCTTGTCTATAATTAAAACTGTAAGCACATGCTGCTTACACCAGTATTATGGCCCCTTCTTTTTCAAACGATATAGACAGGGCAGGGACTACGTATTCTCTTATGTTTTATACAATGCTGAGCATATTGGCAACTCACCATAAATATTGATGATTGTAACAGAAACGTTAACAGGGTTGGTCTAGAAGACAAAGAATAAAACCTCACCAAAATAAACTACAGAGTTTTTTTAATAATCTGATCATATAACCTATAACTTCAGAGCTTCTTTGTTTTGTTCATGGGTGGTTTTTTCCTGTTACATTTTGACCCAGACTGTTGCAAGTGAGTGACTACAGCTTAGAGTTCTGGCATCTTCTTTTTGGCTGATCTCCAAAATGACATATACGACACCGTATTCACCAGGGAAGAGCTAAATCCTATAATAATTATACAGTCCTTGCTCACTGTGTCCAGTGGGAATTATGTCAAAGGAAGGAGTTAGCTGAAAAAAAAAAGTGTCAGGATTTGCCCACCCCAAACCTTAAAAAAAAGATTGAATTAAAGAAAATTTGGGTCGAGTTTGGACCAAAGAAACAGACAGGATTTTTACAGTTATGTTCAAACATTTCCAGTAAAAGGATTAAGTTTTCCATATGCCATCACAATGAGCACTGCTACCACTGTGCTTAAGGGTTTCTCCACATTTCTATTAATATATCTATATATTTTCTTTTGTTTACAAGTCATCTGTAAAACTTGCTGTAAGCAGATATTTGCCTTTAATAAGCTTTTTCCGTTTTCTGTCTTCCTGTATTTGGTTTGAATAGATTTGGCCACTGTAATATTATGGAATACAAAAATAATCAAACCTTTGGTTTTCAATTATTATTTTCTTGTCTAACATTAAAATGGTTTTAATTTTTAAAAATGCAGATAGGAAGGTCATTATTATATTTGTCAGCCAGAACTTTGCATGCTATTTTAAAGAAGGAACTGACTGTGATATTTAGCTTTACAAAGCAGCTAATGTCCATAAACAGAAACTACTCTTTCATAAGGAGTTTTTGGGCTAGATTCTGCACATTTAATTAAGTGTCCCCACACTAGACCCTTTGGAGTCAGCTACTGAATCAGAGGTTGAAATTAAAGAGAGTTTGCTTGTTTAAGGCATATTTACACTCCTCTGTAAAATGTGAATCATGTATGGACTCATTACAGTCTATTGTTTATTCTATATTACAAATATGATAGAAAACAACTTTTCTGAAGTCATTTTAAGGCTGTACTATGTTTTTACTCAAAATACTTACAAATCTATTTATTACTATTTGAGTTATATAAAATAAAACAGGGGCTCCTATCCATATTTAGCCATTGCGTCTGTACAGTAGCTAGTTTCTTAAACCAAAATAATTGACTTGCTATAAACTCCCATGCTAAAGTAACCAATCATTAGTGAAGGATATGGCAAACTAAGCAAGAAAATGTCAAGAGTAGCGGAAACTGAGCTAGTTTTAATATATGAATTCAAAGAGCATCAGAAACTATTAACTTCTGTATTCATTTAGCACTTAGGAATGGCCAAACTTTTTGTATGGTTTAAAAAAAAAGAAAAGTGATCAGTTTCTGACCTTGTAGGCTTAATTTTAGCTATGAGTGAATTTCTTTGGATGTAGTACAGTATTTACCTCACAAAAATACAAGTTTCTAATGGAAACATTGAAACATCCTTAATGAAAGTGATGCAAGTGGTGCTCTTATTATCTTGTGTTAAACAGACAGATGCTATTATAGAAATGAATGAAGATTAAATAAAATAGCCCACAGAACTTAACTATTTGTATAGTTGGGCAAATACTGCAAAAAACTTCATGACGATGTTGAATGGAAACTACAAAAATCACTGTTTTTTCTTTGTTTTCTGCGAATTTTCATACAAGTGAAAGTTTTGCAAGAAACTTTGTAGCAAGTGAGTCTTGCTAATACTATCCAAACAAGAGCCATGCTGGCAACTTGAAATCTCCTTTGATTTCCCTTCACAATAAAATTTTTAGTCATCCAGTTAGCGAACAGAAAAAAATCTAATGTGATTTAGAAGTCCAATCAAACACTACAAACAATGAGTAACAAGTGAATATGTGAACATATAAAATTAAAGTTCCCAAACAGTTTTGAGTAATGAACAAATTTGTTACAGGAACAAAAAGACAAATTCATTGAATAACTTATTTACTACCAATAACTCACCAATCTCTAATCATTTGTTAGTCAGTGCTAACCAATTTTTACATTATGACAGAGCAGGTTGTTAGGATTTCAAAAGGGAAATATTTGTCCGTCTTTGCATCCTAAAACTATATCGCTTTATCACTTCATATTTATATATTTCCTTGGAAATTTCTCATGTTACATGAATGTTATGAGTTATATAGACATACCTCTAGATAGGTTTGTGTGTTTTGCATGAATATCATCTAACAAAATAATATTTTTATAACTGTCAGTTAATTCTTTGCCAAAGTTAACACTTTACATTCAAGTAAATTGTTGTAGCAACTCAGCCAAAAATATGTCAAGCTCTCCATTAACTGGGGCATAAAACTGTCTGACTTCCCTTGCCGACAGATTTGAAAGAAATTGCAGATAACTGAAGAGAAACTGATTTAGCAGATGTTCAGAAGTGCATGGTGAAGGGATATCTAGAATCAATCTCTCTCTCTCTCTCTCAAATTGTACATAAATATATATTTAAAATATTAATATTTTCCCATTGGAAGGATGGTTGACCTGGTTCTGCTTCTTTTTCTTTAATATGTGTTGCTTTTCCAAACTAAACGCAGCTTGGGGTGGGGACATAGGGATTGTGTGTATTGTACAATACATATTTTCCTTAGAAAACATCAATTCCTAGTGACTAGCTACAAAAGAGGAAGAGAGAGGCTGGTGAGGACTCACTCTCTGAGGAGGATCTTCAAGGAGTAACAAGTCTCCAGTGGGGATGTGGAGATGCCCTCTTGACTTTCATGCCCTTGCCCCTTTCCTAACTCCCAGCCTTGCTAGAAATTCTGAGATAACAGGCCAATCTTGGTACAGATGTGGTCTTTTACATTTACTGCTGCTATTATTGCCTTATCTGAATGTGATATTCTGACTTTTACCTTTGCCCCCCACCTACAGCCTGAGTAACTGGATATCTGACATGAGCAGCCCCTTTCTAGCCATGACACTTCCTTTGCACTGCTTTTCTTGGGCCTACAGGCTGAGTTTAGCAGAAAATTGATAATCATTTGAGGTGCAGTCTTGTATTCCCACATAGCTGAGGACGAACAGTTTAAGAAGTGTCAATTGCAGCCTCCTGCTAAAGAAAGGCTCCCCCGGGGCTTCAGGAGAACTCTGGCTGCTATGAGACTTGTGATTATTTCCCACACTCTTTCCATTGTCTCCTCCTTGTCCTCCTCCCTGTCAGCGAAGGTGGGTCACTGAACTTTAATTTTATGGCAGTTTCATTTTGCTGCAGAGACAGTGAATTAGAATAATGCTTTAAGAAAGCATTAAGAAAAATGAATGAGATAAAGATGACAAAGGAGAGAATGAATGAGGGCAATTCGACAGAGTGACCCCATTGGAATCGCTGATATGGAACGTGATGTATTCCCTTTGGCGACACTTGTATACCTTGTCATGCCAATAAAGTTCTTAGATTGGAGGTGGTGTTAAAAGAGAGACAGGAGAATGAAAGGTCACAAGATGAAGATGGATAAGATGTAAATGAGAGGGAGTGAGGAGGTGCTCGTTAAGCCATGCAGGTGGAAGTAGGGAATTGAATACTTCATCCTCCAATTCCTCCCTTATAGCAAAGTAACTTCTTCAATGTCCCCAAACCATTCAGTTCCAGATGCAAATCCTTTCATCCTAGCAAAACAAAATAAGCCCCGTCTCCCCCATTATGTGTGTGTAGGGAGCACAGAGACTGGCTATGGACACTATAGTCATAAATAACATAGTAGCGAGCTTTTAAAAACCACAGTTTAAAGGATGAGGGCTGCCATGACGCATACAGAGAGGCTGAGATCAGAGGATCATCTAAAAGGGATCAGGAGGAACAATGAATCCTCTTGTTCCGAGTTATATTTATGAGTACTTCATTGCACCTAAAGTTCATATTTTATTGGCTAGGCCATGGGGTTTCCCCATTTGCTCTTCTCTTAAAATAACACCCCTGGCTAAAATTTCCTATAAAACACACAAGTCCTACAGCAGGCAGAACTTGTCAGGCCTGACAACAGCTCATTTAGTTTGCGGGTGGGGTTCATGGGGGCAAGAGTTGGTTTGTATTTTGTATTGTATTTTCAGATTTGATTTCTGTGCAAAAATTTATGTAAAATGAGTACAACGGTATTGGTTTTATGGTCCTGTATTTTGGCCAGAGTATTAGAGAGAGATCCTTCAGTAGTCAAACCAAGCCAGTTGTTTCCAACCATTTTGAGCAATTGTGCCAGTAAACTAGACTATGCTTATGGTATTATCCACTCTCTGTCTCCTCCTATTTAATGATGTGTGTTGTACCCACAATGATAAGAGTAGAACTTGGAGCGGCTCATCCTCTTTTGCAGATAGGGGCATGCACAACTGATAGACGGCAATGACACAGTGGGGGCCAGCGCAAAGGCACATTACTAAAGTAATGAGCGGCAGCCTAGAAATCTAGTCAGGAAAACCTGAACTATCAATGCTAGTACATGGTATGCATCCATTGTTGGCAACCAACAAACTAGAAAAGAAATTCCTCCAGTGCTCCCTTGTTGAAGGGATATTGAAGGGATACAATATTGAAGGCTGAATCAGACCTTAGCAGGATGACCAATAGTATTTTCATCCATATAAATACCTAATATTTAGGGCTAAATTCTCTGCTGCTGTACCTGATGTCACCTATAATGTCTAATATTTTACCCATTCATGTTTGCAGAGAATTTGGCCCATGAAGACCCTTTACACATAGTTTTTTTTTTTAATTAATTAGATTTCTTCACCACTGTGTTATGTATTTAAACTACAGTAAAAAGAATAAAATTAAATGAATACCTATTGCAAAGTCCCAATGGCCTACTCAGTTCCTGCACATAAAAACATAAGAATGGCCATACTGGGTCAGAGCAATGGACCATCTAGTCTGGTATTCTTTCCTCCAACAGTGGCCAGTGCCAGATGCTTCAGAGGGAATGAACGGAAAAGACAATTATTGAGTGATTCATCCCCTGTTGTCCAGTCCCATCATCTGGCAGTCAGAGGCATAGGAACATCTGGAGCATGGGATTGCATCCCTGGCCATCTTGGCTAATAGACATTGATGGACCTATCCTCC